GTCAAAACATTTCAAACTAAACATTTAAAATAGATGTATTTTACTAAATATAATTATACCTCAATAAAATTCATTTAAACAAAAATGTGGAAATTCTAGAACGAAAAAATACAATATCTAAAATTAAGAACTCAATAAATGAGATTAAAAGCAGATTGGAGAGGGCTGTGCTTCTACCTATAAAGGATTAACTTCTTGAGGAATTACCTCTCTGCTGTAATCAACTAGAAAACCAGACAATATATCAAACAGCTATTTTCAAACATTGGCCAACAGACAGCCCAGAACTGTGATCCCTGAGAAGGGCAACAAAGGAAGTAAGACCTACAATTGCTCAAGTTTACTGCCTAGAAGCAGCTTCCAGGCTGCAGCACAGGAAAGGGGAACCCAAACAGAGCCCAGAGGTCTTGCTGAGTTGAGGAGACAGGTCAGCTATAAGGTCAAAATGACAAGAATATAGGCGAGGAGGGAGCTACAGAGAGAGAGAATGATTTCTAAAGATGGGCAGAGGGGACCCCTTGAGTCTGGCTGAGTACTGATCTGGGCGTGGGTTGAGAAATCTATCAACGCTGGGGAAAGAAGCAATAGAAAGGAGTAGGCAGAATCCCCATGATTCACAGTCTGGGAAAAGCTTGTGTTTCTACCAACCAGAATGGAAAGACCTTCCAACACACCAAGCATTAGGTAGAGTTCTAAGAAGAATATTGCCTTAATAAAGCAGATAAATTAGCCCAAGACTAAAGGCTGTGCTAGATCAGCCTGAACAAACCTTAGGATCAAGCTTTGAAAAGGTCAAATTGATCCTAAGTAACTTACATGCATGCCAGACAAAACTAACCATCTTTAAAGAAATAAAACAAAATCCAGCACAGAATAACATAATATTTAGAATGTTCAGCATTCAACAAAAAATTACAGGCATGCAAATATGCCCCATAACCAGAGCAATCAATCAATAGAAATAAATCCAGAAATGACAGAGACGATGGAATTAGCAGACAACGTTAAAAGCTCTATTATAGATATGCTCCCTATGCTCACAAATAGAGAGGAAAATATGAACATGATGACAAGTGAAACGAAGATACAAAAAGGACCCAAATGGAACCTCTAGAAATGAAAAAATAAAACATTTGAAGGGAAATCTTCCATGCATAGGATTATTAGACACTGCAGAATAGTTATACTATAATCTACCACTTGAAGCATACAGCTATTACATGTTATGCTCACTCCCTTTTAAAACTCGCTTACTCTCGGTTCTATCTACACATTAACTATAGGTTTAATGCCCACCACCAGTCTCCATGTCAATCTACAGTCATTCAGTTATCTAAAGATATCTCTCTACTCAATTCCTCAGGAAGGGCTCATGGGAACAATATTTCCTGAGTTCTTGCTCATTGATAAGTTTGTGTCTTTTTTTACCGGAAAAGCCAGTTTTGCTAGAACATAAAATCCTTGGCTTACATTTTCTTTTCTTGGGTGCCTTAAATACATTACTCAATTTTCTTCTGCATAAAGCCTTGTTGTCAAAGTCTGATAGTAAACTCATTTTCTTTCCTTTGTAACTATTATTAGTCTTTTCCAAGAACCAAAGCTAAAAGTTAGTTCTTTCAAAAAGACTACAAAATGGATAAACCCCTGACAAGATTGATCCAAAATACAGAAAAGATACAAATCACCAAATCATGAATAAAAAAGTGAGCAATGCTCCCTATACTACAGACACGACAGTAATCACAAGAAGTCATTATGAACGTCAATTAAGTGACCTGTATTTACAAAATTCTTTTATTTCTACATCCCATCTATCAACTGGAATACCTGAGAACAGAATTTAGCAAGATGTTCATGTTTACGTTTTTTTATCTACTGACATTTCTAAGCATAAAGTGACAATAAGTACATTTAATAATTTTAAGTTTAATTTTAAAAACTAAATTTTATGCTTAATCATTTTAAATTAATGATTAGAAGAAGAAATGAACAAATGGTCCGAGTTTAATTACTGATATAGTCAACAACTTTGATAGACCCCAAGGGCATTATGCTGAGTGAATAAAGCCAACCTGAAAAGGTCACATACCATACAGCATTCTCAAAATGACAAAATTAGAGAGATGGAGAACAGATCAGTGATTGTCAGGAGTCAGAGATGGTGGAGGAAGGAGAGTGTGACTATAGAGGGGCAGCAGGAGAGAGATCTTTGTGGTGATGCAACAGTTCTGGATCTTAATTATGGTGGTGGTTGCATGAATAGACCCGTGATAAAACTACATAGAATTATGCACACATTGCACCAATGTCAATTTCCTGGTTTTGATATTGTACTACAGTTACATAAGATGTAACCACTGGGGGAGTCTGGGTAAAGCATATACAGTGACCTCTCTACTTTCTTTGCAACTTCCTTTGAGTCTAGTATTATTTCAAAATAAAAAGTTAAAAAAAATTACTTCATAATATCTAATTTCATGCTCCACTTCAAAGAATCCAAAAATAGAAACCGTAGGAGATTCACGAGTACAGCTTATGCAAGAAAGAACTGGATAACACCATTCTTGGACCCATGCTCAAAGACAAACCCCTAGCCTTACATCAAGACTAGCAAATAAATATGCATATATGTTTTAAGAATAAAAAGCTTTTAAGGTATCATGTACTATCTTTTATAGTTCCTTTGCTTAATTGACTTTCTGGCTCACTGAAAAACTACCAATCACTTCAGACAGAAGGACTTTTACTGTAAACACAAAAATGGTAATGGTATTGACTATGTAGCTAACACCTCTTTGCTCCATATTTTATTGCGTCTTTAAGAGAATTGTGAAGGAAAACATGGCAATTCAAGAGACTCCATACTCAATCAGAAAAGAGTGTTGAGAAAGTAAAAGTATTACATATGCAAAAACCAGATACGTCTGCCATATAATAGGCACTCCATTAGAGGCAGCTGGTTGCAAGGTCCTAGGCCTGATACATCTAAAATCTACTATCAAGAAAGTCTAGGACCAGTGTCTTTGTTCTCTATAATGTACATACACTACAAGTTTTCAGTCTCCAAAAATTTTTCCTTTCTAAAGTCACTAAAAACTTCAAGAGCATTTCAAACAAAAATGGCCATAGAAAACAGATTTGCTAAATCCTCTGGTTAAGAAACATGTTACTACCCCACATGTTATTCATTACCCAATTCTGTTCTCAATACAAAAGCCCTACCCAAGGAATGAGATGGTTCCCACGCCAGGTGGGAGAGATATCCTCAACAAGGCTGGCATCTGCAACGTGTGTCTGCAGGAAGGATTCCAAAGAGTGAAACTCTAATAATTCCTTAGGGTAAAACAACAACATTCATTCCTCACATTTTATAAGCATGCTGGAGAAGTGGCATAAAACCAAGGTCAGCTATCACTTTTTTCATGATATTAAATAGCTTCAATATCCATAACACATTTTTCCTCTGGTGTACTACCTAAAACCTAGGTGTCTTCACTTACTCCTAGGAGGAGTTGGGAAGACTTCTGAATAATATGCAAAATGTCTAAGAAGGGCCAAGCATCATAAATTACACTGAATAAATCAAAAGTAAAATGGTAAGCACTCTAAATCATAAGCGGTGTTTCTTTTTACATATATCTGCCTGACTCATCATAGGCACTCAACTCAGCATTAAATTGGTTTTAGATCAAGATGTTACAACTCATATTTAGCAGTTATTCAATTATGATTACGAAGAGAAAAAAACTTCTTTAGAAAGTTCTTTACTTCAACAAGTTTCACAAAATACATAAACACTAACATAAAAACAATTCTTAAACTCAGTTTGCCTGAATCTCAAGATTTCAGAAATAAGAAATTACTCATCCCTCACCTCCCTGTACCCCACTTAAAAAAAAAAGAAAAGAGATGACAAAGAAAAATAGACAGTAATTGCAACATAAAAGGCAATGTTTAAACAAAAACAAACCAAAAGAGTCACTACTATGCCAATTCTTGACCCAATTCTTTGTGCTTTTCTTATCTAACATGACACCACTAATAAAAATCCCATCATCCATAAGATAGTTCTGAACACTTGGCTCTCATACCTACCAGGATTCAATACTTTAAAAAAAAAACAAAACCTCAAGGAGGAACAATAACGCTTCACTACAAGTACCTATGATCAACTACTTACATGACTCTTGGTAAACTGTCATGCGATATGTAAGACTGTATTAAAAAAGGCAGACTACTTGAGAAATACTTAAAATGGTTAATCTCAGGGAAGAGACAAAAATACATATATACTACAAAATATTTCAGACACTTCTTTTTGCTGGTAATTTGCAGTTACAAAAGTAGTTTTTCCAAACCATTTGCAAACTAACTTGAGGTAAAGAATAGTCTATAGAAATATTACTGTTATTATTTATTTGATAATTTATGGGCAAGCTTGCAATTACTTTATTAAATCAAAACATGAGCGAGTCTAAGGCCAACAATGTGTTTTCACATGTTCTTGATGTGAAAATCTGGGCATTCCTCTTACTAACACCAAACAGCTCAGCTGAACTCCTGTCTGTCCAGAGGCACAAACAGAGGAGCCCATAAAATGAGTGAGTTTCTACAGGACATAATTACTGCATGTCACTTCTCCCCCACATAATAAACGGAACATCTCAAAAACTATCACTAAACAAACAGTCACTGAGATACAGTTAAAAATGATACAGACTTCTTAAAAAATGATAATAGGAAAAATTTCGGCATAACTAGATCTCAAGTTTCTTGCACTTACAAATGACTGCAACTAAAACGGAGCCACACAAAATCTATAAAAACTGCAATAAAAGTTGATACAATAAAAGATACATTTTAATTTACAGGAAATAAACCTGCTTCTCTAATATGGCAAGATCCGATTTGCATCCCCTTACAAACAGTAAAGAAAGACTTAACCAGAAATTTAAACATGGAGGCAGAAACACCAATAAAAAGGTATGTCAAAAACCCACCTGGATATCTGTTTTCAACCATTTGGAGTCCAGTCGAGCCTGGGCAGCCAAACAGAAAGAATCAGAGGGCATCTTCCCTCCAGTTTCCTCCCAGTTGTCAGACCTGCAAGTAAAACAGAAATGTTGAAGATCTAAAGCTTTTCAGCATTTTACAAAGACCCTCCTCCTCCCCCAAGGTTTAATGCAGCAAAAGAGAAGCACAGAACGGAGAGAGAAGAGCTGGGGGAGGCGAGTGAGACGAGGACAGAGGGAAAGAGAAAGATGGATAGTGGGGAGGAGGACAAGGAGGGAGGAAGAGCCCACTCCCAACACAGGTAAGAGCCACAAGCGGGATTCGCCCGCTCTCTGCACTGCGTGGGCGAGACCTTGAGAACGACGGTCACAAGAGACCAAACCACAATGTCATCCCCTTCCCTTAAATCCCAGAGGTAAACACGCCAGGAAGCCCACATTTCAGCGACAAGTGACATCAGCACGCATCTGCCGCCTTACCCCAGACCTCTGAGTGCTGTGGGAAACGAATTAATCAAATTCCCGTCTGCAGAAAACCCCAACAACAATCCTTAGGAATGGAAAGACAGCCGAGCCGCGCGCCGCGGGCGGTCCGCGCAGGCCCAGGTTCGCCTGCCGCGCCAACGCCCGCCGCGCCCCGCTGACCTGGCCCTGGCCCCGGCCCGCACCGCCCAGCGGCCGGCCACCCTCGCCGCCCCTGGACGAGGACCTGCCGTGCAGAGGCCCTGCCGCCTCGCCCCAGCGACGCGCTTACACAGTCTCCAAGCCGCCGCTGGCTCCGCCGGAGCTCGCGATCCCGGCGCCTCTTGCGGCCGGAGGGGCGGGCCGAAAGACTGACGCCCCCACCGCCAGCCAATCGCAGCGAGGCTTCTGCGCGGGCCCAGCCAATGGGGGAAAGGATCCCTCTCGCCCCTCCTCCGGACTCTCCTGCTTCCTTCCATCCCGCTCATCTTCCTTCTTGGAGCTCACACCTTGCAGTCAGAGCCAACCGCAGGCGCCGGGAGGCGGGGTTTCCGCTCACGCACACACGCACTCCCATCCGGACTTCGTACAGCGATCCAGAGAAGCCAGCTGGCGTGGTGCGGTCCTCGAGGATTTGAGTGCTTCGGCACCCGGCGGCTGTGGACCCGATGGGCGCCTCTGAAGGGAAGGGCACACCGCGTGAGGCTGGCTTAGGTCTGCAAGAGCCTCCTCCTGTCTGTCGCGCTGAGTGCAACTGAAATCCTGGGCAGAATACATGGAGCAGCTGGTAACAGGGGAGTGGGAGAAGGAAATCAGAACTTTCAGTACCACAGTGCCCATAAAACAAATCCTAAGAAATGTGAAACAATTGAAGTCATACCAAGTATGTTCTCTGATCATAAAGGAATTAAACCACAAATCAGTAACAACAAGACAATCTCCAAACATTTGGAAATTAAACAACACACTTCTAGATAATCCACAGGTCAAAGAAGAAATCTCAAAGGAAATAGAACTATTTTGAATTGAACAAAAATAAAAATTGATCAGGCTGGACTGGAGGCATAGTGGTTAAGATCGTGTGCTCTGCTTTGGCAGCCTGGGGTGAACCCCAGGCTGGGACATAAACGCTGTTCATCAAGCCATGCTGTGGTGGTGTCCCACATATAAAAGAGAGGAAGATGGGCACAGATGTTAGCTCGTGGCCAATCTTCCTCACCAAAAATAATAATAATAATAATAAATAGAAATATAGCATATCAAAATCAGTGGGATACAACTGAAGCAGTGATTAAAATGAAATTTATAACATTAACTGCTTATTGTAGAAAAGAAGAAAGGTCTAAATCAACCATCTAAGCTTCCATTTTAAGAAACTAAAGAAGAGCAATATACACCCAAAACAAAAAGAAGGAGGAAATAATGGAGGAGCAGAAATAAATGAAATTGAGAATAAAAACAATAGAGAAAAATCAATGCAACTAAAAGCTCGTCCTTTAAAAAGATAAAAAGAAAATATGGTAAGACTGCCAAACAAAAAAAAGAGAAAACACACAGGTTACCAATATCAAGAATGCAAGAAAAGATAGCACTGAAGACCCCACAGACTGCAAAAGGACAGTGAGGGAATACTAAGAACAATTCTTTACATACAGCTTCAACAATTTATATGAAATGGACTAATTTCATGAAAGTCATACACCACCAAAACTCACTCCAAAAGAAGTAGATAACCTGAACAGGACTATACCTATTAAAGAAGCTGAATTCACAGTTAAAAACCTTTCAAAAAAGAAATCTTCAGGCCCAGATTGTTTCATTGATGGATTCTGGTTCTACCAAATATTTAATAAAGAAGTAACACCAATTCTACACAAACTGTTCCAGAAAATTGAAGAGGAATGAACATTTTTAGTCTATAAGCCCAGCATTACACTGATAAAAAAACAAAAAAAGACATTACAAGAAAACTTAAGGGGCTGGCCTGGTAGCATAGTGGTTAAGTTCACACACTCAGCTTCTGTGGCCCGGGACTCACAGGTTTGGACACTGGGCATGGACCTACACACTGCCCATCAAACCCTGCTGTGGAGGCATCCCACATACAAAATAGAGGAAGATTGGCATGGATGTTAGCTCAGGGACAATCTTCCTCACCAAAAAGAAAAAAAAAAAGAGAAAGAAAACTTAAGACCAATATCCCTCATACACATAAATGCAAAAATTCTTAGCCAACTTTTTTAACTTTTTTTTGGTGAGGAAGATTGGCACTGAGGTAACATCTGCTGCCAATGCTCCTCTTTTTGCTTGAGGAAGATTGTCGCTGAGCTAACATCTGTGCCAATCTTCCTCTACTTTATATATGGGATGCTGCCACAGTATGGCTTGATGAGCAGTGCATAGGTCCACGCCTGGGAGCCAAACCTATGCATCCTGGGCCGCCGAAGCAGAGCGTGCAAACTTAACCACTACGCCACAGGGCCAGCCCCTCTTAGCCAACTTTTTGCAAATGGACTCCAACAATGTATAGAAAGGATAATACATCCTAACTAAGAGGGGTTTATCCCAAGAATTCAAGATTGGTTTAACATTCAAAGCTAAGTGTAATTCACCATGAGATCATCTCAATAGATGCAGGAAATGCTTTTGACAAAATCCAACATCCCATTATAAAAACTGAGCAGACTAGAAAGAGAAGGGAACCCTTCAACCTGATAATGGACATCTATGAAAATGTACATTAAAATCAAAACAGTCTTGAAAAAGAACAAAGTTGGAGGACTCACACTTCCTGATATCAAAACTTACTACAAAACTACAGTAAACAAAACAATGTGGTACTTCCATAAGGATACACATAGAGATCAATGGAGTAGAATACAGAACCCAGAAATAAACACTCACATATCTGGTCTATTGATTTCTGACAAGGGTGCCAAGACCATTCAATGGTGAAAAGATGGTCTTTTCAACAAATGGTGCTGGGAAAATTGGATGTCCACATGCAAAAGAATGAAGTTGGACCCTTATCTTACACAATACATAAAAATTAACTCAAAATGGATCAAGCCTAAGCATAAGAACTAAAAATATAAAACTTTTAGAAGAACATGTAGGGGGAAAGCTTCATGACATTAGATTTAGCAATGATTTCTTAGACATGACACTAAAAGCACAGGCAACGACAACAAAAATAGATGAACTGAGTAAATTTAAAGCTTTGTATATTCCTAATCTTATTTAGGTCCCTACTTCTCTTCTGTTCTCCCCACCTCCACCCCTGAACCTTGTGGGATTTACAGACTGTCACCAGCAACATCTTCAATTTATTTTGTAATATTCTCATCACATTACTGGTCTAATGAAAAACCTGTTGTTTCTTGTGGAAAGCAGTGGCTTTTTATTCTCCCACATCCATATATCTTAAGGCATGAAGTGGGTCCCTGCCACTTTTAGGCCATTACTCCTCCTGCTTCACTTAAAAAAAAAAAAGCCCTGAACTTCTTTGAAACACTTGCTATCAGATTATACCACCCCTTGCTTCTTATTGCAACAATCCACAATCCCTCCCATTACTTCCCATGTTCATTGAAGATTTAAGCACTTGGCTCATGATCTTTATCCCACTGCTACCACTGGTCCCATTAGGGCCTTTCCTAGTACAGGAGTCACCCACCCGGTGCCCTTACCTCTTAGTTCCTCATGGCCTCGCTTTCAACCATCCTGCTTCCTGCTCCACTGAGCCACTTACCACCATAATCAGTTCCATTCACCAGATCACTTTGAAGATCACAACTGTGAGCCTCTGTTTGATCACTACATCTTATCTTTCTAGTTCACTTCTTCTAGTAACTATGCCAACAGACTTTAACTCCTCTAGGAGTCTTGACTCACATCCTTGCTTCCCTTTTTTGCCAAGTTAGATTTTGCAGCCCAGCGTATCTCTTGCCCATAATCTCTAACCATTTGTTCCTCTCTCCCTCCATTGTACTTGTCTAGAAAACCTCAATGCTGGGTGAGTCCACTCAATTCAGTTGGAACATGGCTGAATTCCTGAGGCACACTCAGAATATTGACTCAATAGTCCTTTCCCTTCCCTTGGTGCTGCACAGCCATCAATAGGATACAATAGGCCTGAGGAAGAAAAGCCAACCAGCTGGGGGCAGCAAAGTGGAGGGATGGCTGGAAGGAGACCCAGGAAAATGTACATGTACCACTGGCCCAATCTTGGGCCTGTCTACCTCCAGGTTTACTGAGGTTAGGAGTAAATAACAACTGGATATTATTGCATGCAGAGGCACTTGGACTGATGAAACTGTTCTCACCAGGAAAATTATCACCACAACAGTGTCTGTAGTTTCTTCCTTTTCTTCTGTTACTGCAGATAAAGCTTCCCATATCTTGTGAGTGGACAATCCTCCTACTAGCTCTGGATCCACCCTCTGACCTATCAATGACTCCACTCAGGTATTAGTCCCTGCCTCACCTCCCCTCCACCCTTCCACGAATGTCTCCATCTCTGCTGCATCTGTTCTATCAACTTATAAATATGCCCAGGAACCTGGCTTTAAAGACCCTCCTTTGAACTCCATATATCCCTCCAGAAGCCACCTCAATTTTTTGCTTTTTTATTTTTTTTTTGAGGTAACATTGGTTTATAACATTCTATAAATTTCGGACATACATCATTATATTTCAACTTCTGTATAGACTACATTGTGTTCACCACCAAAAGTCCAGTTGCCATCCGTCACTGTACACATCTCCCTTTACCCCTTTCACCCTCCCACTACCCCCCTTTCCCTCTGGTAACCACCAGTCTGTTCTCCATATCTGTGTGTTTGTTTATCTTCCAAATATGAGTGAAATCATTGGGTAATTGTCTTTCTCCATCTGACTTATTTTGCTTAGCATAATACCCTCAAAGTCCCTCCAGGTTGACGCAAATGGCAAGATTTCATCTTTTTTTATGGCTGAGTAGTATCCATTGTATATGTATACCACATCTTTTTATCCATTCATCCATTGATGGGCACTTAGTTTGCTTCCAACTCTTGGCTATTGTGAATAATGCTGCAATGAACAACACTCGTCATATTACTGTTCTAATGAAAAACCTGTTATCCCTTGTGGAAAGCAGTGGCTTTTTATCCTCCCACATCCACACATCTTAAGGCATGAAGTGGGTCCCTGCCACTTTTAGGCCATTATTCCTCCTGCTTCACTTTATTTATTTATTTATTTATTTATTTATTTATTTATTTATTTTTAAAGA